AAATCCTGTTTTCGTGGGTTTCATGAGCTGGAAGCCCAAATTATGTAAAAATAAACAAATAAATACTTGAAATCGTTTAAATTGTGGGCTCTGAATCTATCATCTATTAAAGATTAACTTTTGGAATGGAATTATGGAAGTTAAACAACTTGTTCATGATATTCTAATTTTTTGGAAAGGGTCCTCATGTAAGAATGTTGTTTGATGTCATTCAGACTCGTCACAGATGGTTTAGGTTCAGGTCATGTAACTAAATCAAACTGCAGACAGATCAGTACGTAAAAAAATGGTGGTGGGGTTATGGTTCTATATAATTCAGCTGTTGTTTTTGCTTGTTTTTCCCAGTTAATGTGTGCCTGACTAAGTCCAAGTTAAAACAATTAACTCAGACTTGATGCACACAGGACCGGGACCAAGATGAAAGCAGACGTTTGAAAATTTCAGTGTAAATGAAAAGAGACAATAATGGAAAAATATGGCAGTTAAAACAAACAAGAAAAGAAACGATCACACAAACTACTATAAATTATTTTTGAGAATGAATTTGTTTCAAGAAAGCAGATATTGTTAAATAAGCCCACCTCGGGCCACTTGTTACCTCATGAGAACTTCTGCCTGAAATTATGAACTAATGATGTTTGAGCATCTTCTGCTGAATGTACAAAACTGATCGCTGAACACAACTTCACAGAACACACCTTGAAAAATGCTGTTTCTTTAAGGACTTTTGGTTTTGTGGACAAAAGAGGATATTATTTTATTTCCTTAATTTTCTGTTGCATTCTAAACCACCACTTCTGTGCAGATACTTGGACCCGATATTTATTTTTTTATTTTACCTTATCGTAGAGACATTATTTTTATTTATTTAGCTGAAGAGAGATAAGGCCTGTAACCTACTTCAGTTAAAAAAACAAAACAACTAAGCTCATAAAAGTAGTTTATGGTCAGTATGTTACAGTTGATTATTAAATAATAATAATTTATAAAAACATGCATTTGAGTTTGTATGGTTAGTTCGTTAAAAGGAAATGAGTTTCAGAAAATCAGCACTGGCAGGTCAGAGCTATTCAAAAATCAGATATCGGCCCACAAAACCAGAATTGAATATAACACACGCACACACGAAAAAATAAAAGCAAGTTTATTCACAACTCACTTCAAGTAAGCAAATGAACACTCACCCATCTTTGTCTTCATAGGAGTCTCTGAGATTTGCACTCACTTCCATATATCTCTGTCAAGACACATAGATCACTACCAATGTTAGCAAGATCATGAAAACGAACATTAGAACTCCCATCTTTACTATGTGACTCCCAGTAAAATGACCTTGATAAGGACTGTGGGTAAAATTTACAGATATGTAATTTTTTAAATAATTTTGTGTACGTAGGTGTTTGGCACCGTTCTGTCCAGTGATAACTGGTAGTGTGTTATGATTAGATAGTTCTTGTGTTCATTTAGTAGGTTGAATGGTTTTAACCATGAGTCAGACAGCAAAGCATCATGAAGACCTGTGACAATCACGCAATCCACAAGTATGTTGGACACACGTCTAAGAAACACCATCCAGTGGTTGATTCTTGTACTATAACAAGAGCTCTGATGCATGCTCAATAATCCAGGTAGAAAAATCTAAAAAAGTT